TGACTGTAGTTGATTGGCACTGTGTTTTATAATTGCAGATTGCTAAAAGTGTTCTTGCCAGAGAGAGAGAGAGAGAGAAAGAAAGGTAAATAGGAGAGTTGCTAGATGTGTTAACCCAATGGTGGGATCCCTTTCACAATGTATGGGTGTATCAGATCATCTTTATGGAGCTTGAACAGTTGCAGTGTATTGCAGTTTTGTCAGTTTTACCTCAGTAAAGCTGAAAACCATAAAAAACAAAGAGAAATCACTGGCATGGGGAAAAAGCCATAATCATAATCTTTTCTTATAAAAGGACAAATGTCACATGTATGTAATAGGTATTCATAGAAAGGTAATGGGCTTAGTTGTGTATAGAAAAGAACTTTCTCGTGTTACAATGTGGAGTGTTCTCTAACAGTAATTCCCCTAGTGATACTCAAAGCATCACCTAAGGAGGCCTGAGGCATAGTGTAAGGAATGATAAACATGCATGGTTACAAATGTTTTAGCCCTTTTTAAAATTTTTGAATTGGATTTGCAAATTTCTAATGTATTTTATCAAAGGCAGGAAAAATATCCTATAAAGATGGTCCTAAAGTCAGTTGGCTCATAGCATTGTGGATAGGGATTCCAACTTCTCATTTCATGGTACAGGATAATGTACCCATACAACTGTTTGGGGGATTTTTATACAAAGCCACGGGCAATTAAGTGGATCCCAAGTTTTAGAGGTACCTGATGATCCTATCATATAGATTATTTAGTTTTTTAAAACTATCCTCAGGGGGAGTTGGTATTATTAGAAGATTCTATCAAACATCAAAGAGATACTTCAGCTTAATTCTCACACTGTGATCTGACTTCAGAAATAGCATGCTGTTAATAACAATAAGTGAAAACGAGACACAGCTCTGCCCAGCTTCGTGGTCTCAGCATGTTCATCTGCACCATCGGACTCACCTCTCTAAGTGCTGTGGTTTCAGGAAGGGGCGTGAATAGAGGGTGTAGGCGTTGGCAGAGAAAAGCTGAGCAAAGCCAATGAGAAAATAGAAGCTAAAAAAAAAATGCTAGGGTTTCTATGAGGGATAGTACAAACCAGAGGGAAGCGTTTGGGGCAGATTATCGTGGCAGACATTAGGGGGACATTTCTGAGGGTCTGCTCCGTTTGAGGTCTCAGTGGGTGGGACTGTAGTCAAAGTGAGAGAATTTTCAGTGGAAATGAAACCGTGACATTGCATCAGGCTATGAAAGAGGTGCAATGCAGGGGTGTTTTAATGATGATTCTTTAGCTATGGTCAGGCCTCAAGCCTGATCTCTCTTGACATTCCCTCTCTCAAGGCTGAATCAGGTGCCTGTGGGGTGAACTCACCTCTCTTCCTGGATTTGACCCACAGTAGCTGTACCATCACTGCTGCGAAACTAATCTTTCTCGTGATCGCTTCTCTCCAAATGTTCATGTTCTGTGGGGATAGGGAGGAAAACTGTACCTTGTGTATCTCTGTATACCCCATGCTTGCCAGACACTTAGTAGTTTTCAATAAGTATTTGTTGATTAAATGAATGAATGATTGGACAATTGCTTATGTGCAGGATCCAGATAACATAGTAAAAAGCTTTCCCTACTGATCCATGGTTAACTTTATGAATTAGAGATCTTCTGCCTCTTAAATGACTTCATAATCATAACCTTCAAAATGGGCAAAATATTGGGGCTCCTAGATGGCTCAATCGGTGAAGCATCCAACTCTTGATTTCAACTCAGGTCATGATCTCAGGGTTGCGAGATTGAGCCCCGTGTCCACCTCTACACGGGGTGTGGAGCTTGCTTAAGATTCTTTGTCTCCCTCTCCCTTTCCCTCTGCCCCTCCCAAGGCAAAATATTAAAATATATTTCTGATGAAGTTGTAAAACTTGAAAACACCACTCATTAAATTACTGCTATAAAATATAGAGTGTGTGTGTTTCAAAAACAAAATCCCTACCTAGTTAGGATTCTGAGAGAACTCATATCGATCATGCATGTCTTTTAAAAAATATAATTAAATGGAAGCTTCCTGAGTCATCACTTGAATTGGATGTAAATCATGTCTAATCTGCTTATTAACATGCCCCTCACCTCCATGCCTGAATAACAGAGAAGTCCTCCTAAAAGTTATTCTTACATGTTTCATTTTTGTTAGCTTGCTGCAGTTTATTTGATTTTTGTGTGATTTCACCTTTTTAAATGCAAGTAAGACTTCTTGATACAAACACAGCTTCTACAACACGGAAGAAACACCACACAATGCTTTTCAAGGGTAGCAAAGGATAATCCACATCTTAGATCCTTACATTAACTTCTTGGATCGCTTACGAGGCTGTAAGCAGGAATTTGGAACGAGGATGGGGACAGTGAGAGGGACTTCCAGAGAGGACAGTTGTCAAGTTCCCTTGGATCACCACTGTCCTTCAGGGATTCTGTTAGGGTTTCCCACTCTCCTTCCTGTTTTTACTTTGTTTTGAAGAGGTGGCAACGGGGAGGTTTCCCCTCTCACTTTAGTTTGCTCTCCTGTGGACGCATGAGCTTGCTTTCCTACATTCCTTTCTGAAAAGTGAGGAATCCAGTTCCCTTAGGTGGTGATGCTTGAGGTGGGACTGAGGGAGGTCGACCCCTGAGAACGTGCTGGCCGTCAACGCATGGCGGCGGTGGCAGCAATGACCCTCAGCAGCCTCCCGGTTGGAGAGGAATTTTCCCCTTCTTCTACCTTCAGAACTGAATCCCATCTCTCATTCTTCTTGTCTCACAATTCAGTGGTGTTTCTTCAAAAACTATGGTAGGTTGACAGAATGGATTTCTGCACTACTAATTGAATATCTCTCAAAGTGTGCTCAACTTGGCACCAGAGAGACGTCCTTATCTTTAAGTTGGATAAGGCCCTTCACAGCGTCAGCCCACAGTCCCCTTCCCTGCCCCGCTCCCACCTCCTCCTGCCAAACGAGGGTGAGTATGGACTCACGCGCACACGCACTCTTCCGCATTCTAGTGTCTTCACTCAGGCACTTCCTTATGTCTGGATGATGCCACTGTCCTTGCAGCCTTGCAGATTTTTACCAGAGGGCACCTGGGTGGCTCTGTCGGTAAAGCGGCTGTCTTCGGCTCTGGTCATGATCTCAGGGTCCTGGGATCGAGTCCCGCATCGGGCTCCCAGCTCAGCAGGGAGTCTGCTTCTCCCGCTCCTCCCTGTTCATGCTCTCTCTCACTATCTCTGTCTCTCTCCCTCAAATAAATAAATAAATAAAATCTTAAAAAAAAAATTCTACAAGACTTTGAAGTCTCTACAAAATACCACTTCCTCTTTTAATTCCTGTCTTTGCCCAGTCATAATTTCATTTTTTTTTTAAATTCTGCATTGCCATAGATTTCTGTGAAACCTCTATCATGGCACTCCTACACAACATTGTGTAGATTTTCAAAAAATGTCTTCCTCATGCACATTTCCTCTGTCAGGGCCCTGAGTTATATATACCAGTATGAATAGACCAAATCAAAATGTGTTAAGAGGTTACCCAATCGTGTTGAGAAACTACAAACATTAACTGTCTAGGGAATAAAAAAAATCTTCCTTTTTTGTAAAACTTGACCAACTAACCCTAACCCTATACTTCCTGTTAATGATTTGATAGAACCAGTGCTAGAAAGTAGTATGAAGAAATACTGCAATTTGCATTTGCTTGGCTTCATTTAAGATCATTACCTTTGTATCTAAGTTTGTTTTGGAGATTGATTTAGAATTACCTTTCAGTATTAGGTTAATTTGAAAAATTCCCTTTGCTGATACTTTAAGGCTTAAATGATTAGATTTCTACATCCATAGGTGTCCTTAGAGCTCTAGGAAGGAGGCCTGCAGCTATGTTTCGGTTTCTATAGCCCTGTTTCTGAGGCTGAGAAACATCAGTTGTTCATAAAGGGGAGGTGCAAGTGCTAATTCGTATCAGGTGCATGGCCTGATGCTTCTTTTGCTCCGCTTGGGTGTAAAGAGGTAAGGACCTGTGCTACGGCAGGCTGGATGGAGACAAAAGAATGGGTAGATACCCAAAGCAAACATCTATGATACTGGCATAAGTCATCTACAAGATTGAAATGGCTGGAAAAGGATGATGAAAGAATAAAATAAATAAACAGCAAACCCTGAGAATTTGGGAAGCGACCTTCGGTGGGGTGGGGAAGGTATATTTACTTAAGTTAGCTAGAGGACTATCTCCTTTGTGGTCTATCCATAAATTCTCCGCAGTCTTTATTAGCGGTCCAGTAGACATACTAAGGCTCTGATAAGAGGTGGGCAAGTGCCTTGTTTTCTTCTCTTGATCTTCCCACATCTTCTCAATCCTTAAAGCATTCAGCTAGCTAAGCAGAAAATGGACAAAAGTAAGTTTGAATCCTTGCCTCCATCTCCTTCCTTTATCTTCCAAAACACTGTCACCTCAGGTAAAATAAAATACGGAGTTCCTTACAGAACCCACTAGAAATCTATAAATTAGCCCATATTTCAGCCTGAAGAGGAAGACCACTTCGTCCTGGGGAATAAACTGAGGATCTGAGAAGAGCTGGCTTGCAAGGCAGGAGGGGGAAGATGGAGAATTTTTCCCAGTTTCCTGTGGCTGGTAGATCTCATGAATGTACCTTCCTTACTCTGAAGGTTTTTTAGATTCCAGAACATTAGCAAACATACGTGCACTTTATGTGTAGCAAGGAGCAGTGCTCAAATATTTATTTGAATAAACAAATACGTATGTTTTTGTTATCTCCTCAACAAATTCAGCCATGAGTTGTACAGGGGGCACGCCTTCTAGTCTTGCTTTCCGAGAGAAAATCAGATGAAATGGGGCCATGTTGCCTTTCCTCCTTCAGCACCAATTACCCCACCCCCACCCCGAGTGCAGGGAGTTCATGCAGGAATCCTAGTGCATTGCTGATCACATAGCACAACGAGACACAGGCTTTATTTCACGCATTCTGATCCAGCTTTCTGTTCTTGCAGGTGCGCACATCTTGACCGACTTAGCAGGAAGGTGGATTTTCTTTGTGTTTAAAGAAAAAAAATGTCCCTGTGTCTGTAGAGATGATTTGCAGTTCAGCCCGGCTGAAGCTGACCGAATGAGACTATGGGCTGTGCCTCTGCTAAGCATGTTGCCACTGTTCAAAATGAAGAGGAAGCCCAGAAAGGGAAGAACTACCAGAATGGAGATGTGTTCGGTGGTGAGTGCCCTTGAACTTTACCTTTGACCTTTTGACCTGGGCTTTTCACTTTCTCAGGAGCAAATATTTGTAGTGTTTGGGGGGGGGGCGCTGCTGGTAAAGGGCTGACGAGATAGGGCTAGAAATCACTGCAGATCTTTAACGTGGGGCAATTTCCGTAATAATTTATACATAGAGGATTTTGAGGAGCATGGTGGAGGTTTTATAGTATTTCAGTCAAGTTTTAAATAACTAGTAGGACTTAAATGGGTACATAGCACAGCAACCTCAGGGGGTCCTGGTAGAGGTGCGCTCACTGTAAGACCGAAAACACAGCGGTCCAAAAGTACAGTGAGTGAGGATTTGTAAACGAGAGAGTGAGGTGTTTTTTAGGGTTAGTAGTTACTCTTTATGTGACTTTTTATGTGTATTTCTTCAGATTAAAAAATACAAATACAATGAATTTAATAATCGTCTTTTAACCTTTCTGTGGTGATTCAAAGTGACTTTGGAATATCTAGTGCAAAGATCACAACCTGCCAACCCATGGCCATGTCTGGCTTGCAAATATATTTTCTTTGGCTCCCAGAGAATTATGAAATAAAGTGCAAGGCAGTGTTCAAAACTCAGGATGTTTCACATAAAACCCCCAAATTTCTTCAGGAAATCTGGCAACACCGGGTTTGTCTTCCCTGAGGCAGTGGCCCCCTCAGTCCAGCTGTGGCCTCCCGAGAACTGCAGAGCCTGCCCTGGAGAGTAGCACATCCAGTCCCTTTCACTCATGAATGTCATCTGCCTGGCCACTTACAGGCTTCTGAGTTTGTCTGGTGATGAGTTCGTCCCTTAGAAGATCAGCGATTGCTCTGGCATCACATGGCCGTGGGTTAGTACAAAATTCCAGTTAGGAAGCAGACATAGCAGTTTTGCTGAATTACTTGAACAGTGATAACCCACGACTGGACCCATGCATGGCATTCCTGTGTTCAGTCACCGTCAAGTCATTCTACGGCATTTTGGTCCATTGTAATGGTTATGCCGGTCCCTGGTGAGGAATTGGGGTGTTGTGGGAAGACTAATGCTCTGCTAAAAGTGGGCTAGTATATATGGAGGAGGATTTTGTGTTGTATCGTTTTAAGGAAATGTATGTGTTGCCTGGAACAAATTTGCTTCTGGTGGGGACTGCCTAGAAAATTGAGAACTGTGGCAAAGAGTAACATGTGAGCATCTAAATAAAACTCGACTTTGGGGCGCCTGGGTGGCTCAGTTGGTTAAGCAACTGCCTTCGGCTCAGGTCATTATTCTGGAGTCCCTGGATCGAGTCCTGCATCAGGCTCCCTGCTCAGCAGTGAGTCTGCTTCTCCCTCGGACCCTCTCCCCTCTCATGTGCTCTCTCTCTCTCTCTCATTCTCTCTGTCTCAAATAAATAAATAAAATCTTAAAAAAGAAAAAAAAAACTCGACTTCGGATCACTGAGACCGGTTTCTGGGAAAACAGTTCATTGGAACTAGCGTCATTCTGTCACCCTTGAACACTGAACTTTTAAGAGAACATAATCTAGTATCAAGGGTTTGTTCAAACTAACTTCTGCGTGATATTCTATGTCATTATCATTTTTGTAACAAGAGCTACCATTAATGGAGCTGCCACCATATGTTAAACATGCAAAAAGCATTTATACATTCATTTTCATGGTGAATTTTCACAACAATCCTGTGAAAGATGTGTCATCCCAGTTTTACATATTTGGAAGCTGAAGCACAGGAGAGACTAACTGGTCCCAAGTTGCCCAGCTACGGAAGCCACAGACTCAGGTCTCTCTGACTCCAGAGTCCATGTTGCTTTTCTTAATGTTGATGCCTGGCGCCCTGCTGCCTCCCATTGGTCACTCATTCTTAAATGCAAAAGAATCGCATTGGCCTGTACAGGATATGCCAAGACCTTTTGCTAAATGCCATGGAGGGTACAGAGGTAAATAATATGTAAACCTCCCTTCCTAGACTTAATAAGAGGATGAGGAAATTTTATGAGGCAGAATAAGCCAAACACCAGGAAAGGAAAAGACATACATCATGATAAGAGTCAAGGGGATGGAGAGACTGCCTTAAAAGGTGGGATCAGAGCAGATTTCTAGAGGGGACATCTGAACCTGGCCTTAAAGGACCAGAAGAATCTAAACTTGTTGGATGAAGAAAGGCTAGAGGTAATGTGAGACTTACTCGAGAATTATAAATAATCCAGTTGGAATGGAGTATAAAGTTTAAGTGAGAGAGAATTGGCTAGAAAACTAAGTTAGGGTTAAATTATAGAGAACTTTGAATACCAAATTACAGTCTAGAAAGATAGACTGTAAGGGCAAAAATCAGTGATATTCAGTATATTGCACTTACATTCTGCCCCGCAATGAGACCACCTAACCATCCAGTTGGTAATTCAGTTTCAGCTTTTATAGGCGAGGAGACTTTCTATTATTCTAAAGTACTATGTGTATTTGGCAAAAGTTGGCATCTAATAAAGGAGCCTTCTATTAGTCAGCTGTCGCTGGGTATTGGACAACCTGAAGATCTCAGCGGCATTCAACAATGAGCATGTCTTTCTTGATCATGAGTTGGTGAGTCAGCTGGAGTGGTTCTGCTCCATGTCTCTCATCTTCCTCCTGGGACCAGTGAGCCGCAGGAGGGGAGAGGGGGGCATGCTCTTCTTTTGCAGAAGGGTAAAAGTGCAAGCGATACACAAGATGCCTCTTAACCTTGGGCTTATTGCTGGCACAGCATCATTTTTCTGGTCAACTCAAGTCACATGAACGGGCTCCGAGACAAGAGGCAGAGAAACCCACCTGACGGCAGTGCATTTGTGACGAGGGTGCGGATGCGGAGAAAGGTCAAGAATTGGGGCGAACAATTCAGTCCACCCCCAGCCTGCCTAGTCATTGCTGCCTGTGCGGCTCCATGCGGTTCATGCAGTCCGTTAGCTTTTTTCCAGCCTCCTAATACTTATACTGAAGTTTTATTCACTCCAGCATTCATCATCTTGTTACTCTTTCTAACATAAACATTTGTGGGTTTGTGGCATGGTGTTAGATACAGCAGAACAAGGAGGGAGAGAACTTCTTGAACCGGTCAAGGGAGATGGTTTTTGATAGTCCCACAGGGCTCTGGGGGTAGAATTGTCAGAGGGCAGTTTGAACATCAGTGCCATTATCCTAGTGTTACTGAATGCTAGAGTACGTGTAGGACAAGAGAAGGTCCTATTTGTGTTTCTCCACTTAAATTTTAGTTTGCACCAAATGTGATCACAGATGGTCACAGGTAACTGGCAGATCTGGCTTACTTTTACCCACTTGATATCTTTGTCACCCATTGTTTCAGTAACTTATTACCGTATCACAACTCCACATTTAGTGGCTTGAAACAAGCATTGACTTATTATTTATCACAATTCTGTGGGGTGCCTGGGGTTCATCTGCTGTTTTTGCCTGGACTCAACCAGGTAGCGGCATTTAGCTGGGAGCTCAGTGAGGCTCAAGTAACCAAGATGGCTTCAAGTCTCTCTTTCTTAGCTAGAAAGTCAAACTTTTCACGAGGTGGCTGGTTTCTAAGAGAGGAAGTAGAAGCTGTCAGGCCTATGAAGACCTAGCCTTGGAAGTCCAAGAATGTCACTTTTGCCTCATTCTGTTGATTAAAGCAAGTCATAAGACCATCCCAGAGTTGAGAGAGCTAGAGGTCTCCATCTATTGAGTCTGAGGAATTGTTGGGGGCCATCTTTGGAGACTAGTTACCTCAACCACTGAGAAAGGCAGTGAGAACCCCATGACTGGATTATATTCCAACCTGGACAGTTAAGAGTCTGCTTTCTAAATCACTGCTCTGTTTTTTACTGAATAAAGTTGCCTTGCTCACTTTTTCATAGCCGTTTTTAAATGTTTAAAAAATGTTATTACTGCTTGTTGTTGAAGAGTTGACAAAGTCTGTGAAGGATGGCATATTTGGGGATGGTGCTGAAGTATGTGTCTCTGAGTGTGTGTACACACACACATTCGATCCTTTTCCTAAAGGTGTGAATTTAATTTCATAGCTTCTAAGGACATGCTGGGGAGCATTGATAAACAGTGTGTTTTTACAAATGCTAATTTCCATTTTTAAGAAGCAGTTTGGTCTCCTTGATGTTTTAGTTATTTAGGAGAGTGACCGCTCCAAATGTGTGTGACAGAATATGTCTAGAATACTCCACCATAGAGGATTAAGTGACAAAAGAGCATCTTGACTCCTAGATTTCATAGAATTCAGGAGGTCATTGACAAGGAACTTTATCACTGTCGTTCACCTGTAGATTTTCTTTCCCTTTAAATACCGAAGCATAAAAAGTTTCAGATCCTAAGTTGTGCCTCACATCCATGTGGCCTGTTGAGAAGTAAAATCCAGACCAGAAATCTCCATCTCCAGATTGGAATTTTCCTTCCCAGCGATCAGGGCCGATGTGAAGAGTGGTCAGCAGATCTACCAAGGTCAATTGGAGGACAGCTGAGCAGATTGCCAAAACCAGCTTGCATCAAATGAGTGACCAACAGGTTCAAGTTATCATGAACTAGTTAAGCAAGTTCTAAGGAAAGCCAAGTGCTTATTGGATTTCTTTCAACAGCCATTAACTTAGACTATTAAAGTAGGTGCACATAACAGAGTCAAGCCTAATATTATTAGGGAAGTTAACATGTCAGACCTGAGATCATTATCTCTTCTGCAGCCCACCCCAAGGGGAGAAAGCTCTTTACTTATATTGACTGTACTATTTGCCCGGGCCCCACCATTCTTCCAGGAATATAGGCTTTAGTCTTGAAAAGGCTTTAAACTGGAGGCCTTTGTCTCTTCCAGTTCCCAGCTTCTGTGACTCCTGCAGTTTTCCTCAGAGGCTCTTTTCCTGCAGTTGCTACAACCCATCGCCCAGAACAGCGCAGTGCCCTCCGACCTGAGCTCCATGAGCCTCCCTGGTTGCTTGTTTTCTTCTTGGATTTTTGTTGTTGTTGTTGT